GTGCATAATCCGTATTTTTCTAATACACCATTGTGTTTTACCCCTAACACTATTGTGTACGGGTAAGATCGGGGATCATGTTAACCCCAATTCCCCAATAGAGGAACGAGAAGAAGGCATGATTTGGCGCAATCTCGAGCGAAGCCGAATGATCCCTCGTTTCGGAGCTCGGGTGGGACGAACGGTGCATCTGGGATTGGGTACGACTAAACACCGGATCCGGACCAAGTGAAGTTTTGAGATCAAGAAAAAGAGAAAGGTTGAGCATGACGAGCAGGGAGTCTTAATATCCACTCTCAATCGGACATTACGGCGCAAATCTCGTCCGATGTCAACCGGGAATCGACGTTTACTGAAAAAAGAAGATTTTTACCTTATTTAGACTTGTATTATAATTGAAATTCCCTAATATATAAAGGGGAGAACTTTTTATTTTAAATCATTGTTGTCACGCACATCAAAGCAATAAAAGTTCATTTTTGTCTTCTAGTTATTATTCAAAGTGTTCCTCATACTCTCTTCTTTAATTTCAATCGAGCTCATATTGAGGGCACGATCAGAGTCAGTTTTCAGTGTTCAATTTAAAACCAGGCTTGATTGTTCCATCACAATTGGTTTGATCGTTCATTCTCTCTTTAATTCAATTATTTACTATTCTTAGATCATTCGTATTAAATTAAACCATGTATCCTTTAGTCCACGTACAAATTTAATTGTTACTCATTTTTAAGGATAAACAGTTGGGCGCACACCGGGGGCTATGGATAATAGTGGTGATTTGATACGAATCTCCAAACACACCCTATTTTACACTTGTTCTTTGAAGTTTGATTTCAGGTTAACCTAAGGATGTCAAATTCTCAGTTTGATCACTTGAATGTTGACGCCGAGTCACGCCACCACGGTGAAAATAATAACGTGGTACCAAACAATGACATGCCCCCTGTTGATCCCAATTGTCTCCCGGTCGATGCTAACTCATAGGTTACCATCAACATCAATCTACCAACTAACCCCGAAAATAGCATTCGCGGGGCACCCTGACCATCGGCTCGAGAAGAGCACGGAGGGAAAGAGCACGGAGGGAAAGGTGAATTGGTTATCTTGCGGTTAATTTTTGAAATGATGCAAGCTCAGGAAGCAAAAATAGTGCAATTGTAGACCCAAAGTCATGTCCCTAACAGGATCAAGCCCGAGCAGGTCAGGGAAAACACTCGAAGGAATGAACAAGTTGCCTTGAAACTGGATGAATTCGGGCCCGGGAAAACTTTTGAGGTGATGAAGATGCTCGAAGCATCGACAGAGCGGGTGGAGTCTGGTGAGAAAAAGATAAACGTCAATGATAAGAAGGTAAAAACTTATAATTCCAGGGTCAATCAGATCCCAGGAGCACCTCCAATATTGAATGGGCCAGTTTAAAAAAAATTCATTCAGAAGCTTGATGTTCCCAGGTATAATAGGATCACAGATTCAAATGAGCATGTAACCTCCTATATATGCGCAATCAAGGGAAACGACCTGGAAGACGACGAGATCGAGTTAGTGTTGTTGAAAAAATTCAGGGAAAACCTTGTCAAAAGGAGCAATGATATGGTATCACAACTTGCCTCCAAATTCTATTGATTCATTTGCTATGCTTGTGGATGCTTTTGTAAAGTCCCATGTCGGTTCCATCAAAGTTGAGATGAGGAAGTCGGACCTTTTCAAAGTCAAGTAAAGGGATAACGAGATGCTTAGGGAGTTTATGTCGAGGTTCCAGATGGAACGAATGGACCTACCCTCAGTCACGGATGATTGGGCCTTTCTGGCATTTACTCAAGGGTTAAACCCCCGAAGTTCCGTGGCTTCTCAACAGTTAAAGAAAAACTTGTTGGTGTACCCGGTAGTAACTTGGGTCGACGTCTATAATAGGTATCAATCAAAGATCAGAGTCGAAGACGACCAACTGGGAGCCCCTTTGGGGTTTGTTTGCCCGAACGGAGCAAATGATGGGTCTAAGAGAATCATCAACCAAGAGCCAAGGCCGGTCCGAGATCGATATCAGCCATATGGCTCGGATCGGAGGGCAAACGAATATGGGCACCACCCGACTAGGAACGACAAGAGAAATGATCAAGGGCCGAGCAACCAAGACCTGATGAGCAAAAACGGTTTTGACAGGTTACTCGAGGGCAAGGAAATGCTGAGGTTATTGGAGTATAATTTCAACATGGATCCTACAAGTATAGTGTCGGCCATAGGACCTATCAAAGAGACCAAGTGGCCTAGATCACTGCAGTCCGATCCCGCTAGAGGGATCACAGTTGGTGTGTAAGTACAACGGTACTCACAATCATAGGACCAAAGATCGTTGACATCTATGGGAAGAAGTAGCTCGATTATTCAACAATGGGTACCTTCGAGAATTCCTAAGAAAACGGGCCAAAATCATTTCAGAAACAGGGATGCCAACAAATATGTTGAACAAGAGGAGCCCCGACACGTGATCAACATGATCATTGGGAGAGTGGATGTCCCCCAAGGGCCAATGATAAAACGCACCAAAGTTTCTATCACAAGGAAAAAAACCGAGATTATATCTAGAAAGGGGCCATCTCGTTCAGCGAAAAAGACTCTGAGGGCATCATCCAGCCATACAATGATGTACTTGTAATATCCGTACTATCAACTAATCTCGAGTTAAACGTGTGTTGATTGATCCAGGTATCTCGGCCAACATCATCCGATGGAGGGTCGTATAACAACTATGATTGTTGGAACAAATCATACTGGCGGTCTAGATGTTGAATGGATTCAACATGGCGTGCAATACAACGAAGGGTGAGATAACTTTACTAGTAAATACTGTCGGGACTACCTAGGAACAAAGTTGTACGTGATCGAGGGGGATATGAGGTACAACACCTTGTTCGGAAGACCATGGGTTCACAACATAAGATCGGTGCCTTTAACCTTACATCAGGCGTTGAAATTTCCCACTCTGGGAGGAGTGAAAACAGTCCACAGGGAACAGCCGACCATACGGGAGATGTTTGCTATCGATGAAGTAATCTCGGTGCCCACAGTTTCGACATCAAAGATCAGGGAATTGGCCGAAGAAAAGGAAACCAAATAGCAATCAATGATCCCGACCTCAACCGGGCAGGAAAAACAAGAGGAGTACATAGCGAATAAGGAGAATGATTAAATCGTCCCGGGATCTTTTATAGTACTCGATGACACCGTTGCCACTAAGTCAACAATCGAGGAATTAGAACATATTATACTGATGGAGCGCTTACCGGATCGTAACTCCCGCGATCAGGAAAAAATTTATTGATTTTCTTAACGCTAATGCCGATTGTTTCGCCTGGTCCTATTCAGATATGACTGGGATCCCATTGGAGGTAACAAATCATAAATTGAGCCTGGATCAAAAGTTCCATCCTATCAAACAAAAGAGAAGGTCGCAGTTTGAGATCAAACACGCGTTCATCAAAGACGAGGTATCTAAACTTTTGAAAATAGGTTCCATTCGGGAAGTTAAGTACCCGGATTAGTTAGCTAACGTAGTAGTCGTGCCTAAAAAAGGAAATAAACTTAGAATGTGTGTAGATTATAAGAAGCTAAATATAGTGTGTGTCCAAAGAATTCATTCCCTTTTCCTAACATCGATCGAATGATCGATGCGACGACCAGACATGAGATACTAAGTTTTCTCGATGTTTATTCTGGGTGCAACCAAATTCGGATGGACCCAAGAGCTCAAGAAAAGACTTCTTTCATAAGTAAATTTGGCACTTACTGTTATAACGTGATGACGCTTGGGCTAAAGAACACCAGTGCTACGTACCAACACCTAGTTAACCGGATGTTCGAAGAACAAATAGGGAAATCAATGGAGGTTTATATTAATGATATGTTGGTTAAGTCCCTGCAAGCAGAGGACCGTTTGAAACATTTGCAAGAAACCTTCGACATATTGAGGAAGTATAATATGAAGCTAAACCAGGAGAAGTGTGCCTTTGGGGTTAGCTTGGGCAGGCACCTCGGATTTATTCTATCTAACCAGGGAATAGAGATCAACCCGAACAAAATAAAATCTATAGAAGATATCATTGTAGTTGATAATGTTAAGGCAGTACAAAGACTGACCATGTGGATAGCTGCGTTGGGCCGATTTATTTCGAGATCATCAGATAAAAGCCATCGATTTTTCTTATTATTGAAAAGGAAGAATGATTCTCTTAGACTCCGGAGTGCCAACGACACTTAGAAGAACTCAAGTGATACCTATCGAGCCCTCCCTTGCTACACACTCTGATGGCGGTCGAACAACCATACCTCTACTTGGTGGTTTCCACGGTGGCGGTAAGTGGTGTCCTGGTCTGGGAGGAAAAAGGTATGCAATTTCCTATTTATTATGTTAGTAGGACCCTAGGCGATGCCAAAATAAGGTATCCGCACTTAGAAAAATTAGCGATCGCCTTATTAAGCGCTTCTAGTAAATTAAAATTGTACTTTCAATGCCACCCCATATTTGTCATGACCTCGTACCCACTGAGGAATGTCATGCACAAGCCCAAGCTCTCGGGACGATTGGCTAAATGGGTCATAGAAATTTGAGGGTACGTGTCATGACCCAAACCAATGGGCCGCGACGGGTACCCGATACCTTACCCAACTAAGTACCAACATAACATAACTTTTTATGGCATACTATCATAGATAACTGAGTCGGAAGGCTGTCGTGAGTTAAGTAGAATACAACATATGATACCAATTTATACATAAGACATATGGACCTATAAGGCTAAAATAACCACACGTATACTTAACATAGGCCGACAAGGCCATACAATCTTTTACGTTCATGACATATGTCTATAAGCCTCTAAAAATACATAATATTCATAAAGATTGGGACAGAGACCCACCAAACCAAATAATACACATCTAAATCATACTAACCAAACAAGCTCCAAAGCAAATGGAGCGCACCAATATCTTCCGCTGAGCTAATAGCCTACTTGGAGGGCTCTCGACCGGTCTACCAGGACTTGCGGGCATGAAACACAGCGTTCCCAGGCAAAAGAGACGTCAGTACGAATAATGTACCGAGTATGTAAAGCACATAAATAAGTACATGGAAGAAATATAGAGTAAATAACTCAACCTGTAAGTTTGGAAAACTTTATAAATCATGAAATACTTATAGTGTTATGCATATGCGTATGAATGTCATGTCGTGCATAGGTACATGTTTCATATCATCATCAGCCTCTGAGGGCATCCCATCATATCATCTCGGCCACTGTGAGCAAAATCATTAATGTATACTAGCTGATCAGGTGGTGGTACGTATATAACGCCGTAACCTTTTTCCATATCCCATATATATATATATATAT